GGGGGGGGGGGGGGGGGGGGGGGGGGTCTTGTTAATTGGAACAAGGTTTGGGGTATATCATGGAGCAATTAGTAAGCAAGTAAATCAGTAGTGTAGTAATGATGCTGCTCAGTATTCAGGCCTCCATAGCAACGATTCAGCCCCCGAAAAGCTCTAGAGGAGTCACAAACAGCGTGCCCAGCTCTGGGCTATCGATAATTTCGGCAAACCCAGAACCGCACGCAGGTTCCCCAAAACTCCTAGACCCTAAACCCTCGATCGAAAAACCCGAAGATCCCCAAAAATTCCCGTCACCTGGGCGATGCCATCCATGCGGTCTTCTCGGCCCAGCGCCGCGTAGTAGACGTTGAAAGCCATGAGGCCTGGGGTCGAGCTTTTGGGTTTGTTAGGGTTTTGGTGTCAGGGGTGTATGCTTGTGGGGTTTAGGGTTTGCGGGTTAAGGTGTATTGTTTAGGGCTTGGGGTGCCCGTCGAGTTGAGGGTTTCGGAGCGTGAAATTGAAATGACCCAAAGGCTCGAGAAGGCTTCGGAAGAGTTTCTGGTAAAATCGGAAGTTCACAGAGCCGAATACTTAGAAAGAGTCCTGGAAGTGTCCGTGCAGTCGCAACAGAAGTAGTAGTAGTCGTCGGCGTCGGCGTCGTCGTCGTTGTAGTCTTGGTGGTGGTAGTTCTAGTAGTAGTAGTAGTAGTAGTAGTAGTAGTAGTAGTGGATCGTCTGACTCGACCGCAGGCACCTGGTTAATACGATCCGGTGATTTCTGGTCGAGGCACGTGCGCAAACACCTCCGGCAGGACAGTCTGTGATTACCTGAAAAAATCGGAGGGCTTTGTGTCTGGGTGCTTAGGGCTGCATCTTCCCTGGATCTTCGCCTGTCCTTCAAGAGGCTGGCGCTTCTCTCGGTAATAGCTTTAGGCCTGATTTGGCACGATGTGTCGTTGAGAAGTTGCTGACATCTTCCTCGAAGTCTTGCACGTCGCCCACAAGAACTTCGCAAGTAAAACGTTCAAACTTGTCTCAGCTGCACGACTGCTGTCACTGTTGTGTGCCAGCAGAAGGAAGGCCTCAAAGAAGGTGCCCAGACTGTTGAGAGACTCCGATCTGTTCCCCTTTGTGCCTGTCTTACCCGGCAAATGAACGTACAGAGGACTTTCTTGCCACCACTCGGCTGGCCGTTGTTATGGTGGCTTTACGATACTCAGTCGATACTCCTGAGCAAGACTGACTTCGAGAAGCTCTGAGCCCTAACTTCGAGAGGTGAACTCTTAGACTGGATTTTGTCTATCCTGACCATCTGTTCGGGAAGGCTACAGTAAGGCCCAACGCATCACAGTAAGAATATCACAGTAAGAACAGGACAGGGTCAAGGTTTCGGGGGTTAATTGACCCCTTTGGCTTGAAGCAGCTTCCGGACATCTTCGAGGAAAGCTGCCGAGGGTGCAGGGGGAGGCGGAGGCGTGGGCTCCGGAGTGGTGGTGGAAGTGGTGGCCGTCCTGGCGAAGGGTTCCAGCGTTCGGGGTTTAAACTGTGTAAACTGCATCGTGCGAGGTCGAGTTGGGGAGTTTGGGGTTGCTGCTAAAAGCACGTGTGTAGAACCCACACTTGTCACGCGATAGAGCCTCATGGCACTGAACACAACAGCAGGGTATGTCACGGACCAAAGGGAACGAGATAGGGCCGGGTCAGAGGTCCTCCAGCCATCCGGAGGCTCCTCCGAGCAGTACCGAAACTCCCAGAGCCTTGGCTCGCATAACAGGAATTCTTTAGGTAGGTCCCATGTGGGTAGTTCTCTAAATTAGGGCCCCTTTTTAGGTCCTCAATATAGTACGGCACCCTTATAAAAAGAACCCCCAAGAGGGACCCTATTTTAGAAAACTACCCATGTCCAAATGGATCAAAGACTGATACATTCCCAGGGTTCTGCCCACAACTCATGACGTTGCTGCTCAACTCTGCAAGCCCCTCTGGCACTTCGCGCGTCAGCGGCAGTGCTCCCAAACCGCCAAGCCCTCCAGCCTGACCCGACATCCTGAGGCCCCTCAATCCAACCCTCAAGCCGCAGAACCCACCAGCAACAAAACCTGCAAAATGACCCATCAGACCCCTAAACCCTAAACCATTTACCCCTTTTGGCAGCACCCTGAACCCTAAACCCTTTTAAAACCCTAAACCCAAAACCCGAAAAAAACTGGCCCCTGTTTGGTCGCGCCCAGAAGCGGCTTGCCCTGGGGCCCCGAGCGGCAGCCTGGCACAAAGCCATCCCAGCCTCAGAGAACTCAGACTCCGTGTGCCTGTGGGGGCTGAGTATTTAGGGTTTAGGGTTTAGGGTTTAGGGTTTAGGAGTACCCTAGCCCAAAAAAGGTTCACCTTTTCAATTATGGTAGGATTATATAAACCCCAAAGAGTTAAAGGTTACCTACTCAGCAACTCAGTGTGCGCGGCCCCAAAGCAGACAAGGGGAGCAGGACAGCTCTGGGGAGCTCTTTGCGGCATCGGGGCTCTTTGGGTTTCGAGCTTGGGGGTTTAGGGCGTTTTTTGGGAGTCAAGGGCCCTCGACTTCGTGGCATCCGGGGTTCAGGGAAGGAACTGAAGCGTCTTCAGGTTCAGGGGCGAAGGGGCTCAGGGCTTGGATGCCGGAAGCAGAAGAACGTGCAGTCCGTGCCGTTGGAGTTGGCTTTTGGTGGTATTAAAGTGATGCGAGTATGGATATCTCGGAGGGTGCACGCATGCAGGAGGGCTTGTGAGAGGAAAAGAGGGCGGGAGAGCGAGGAAGGGTGAGAGACGGTGGGAGAGAAAGAAGAAGAGAAGGAGGGAGGAAGCAAGGGAGGAAGGGACCTAGCAAAGGAGGAAGGGAGGAAGGGAAACCCGTCGGCTCGCTGCATGCACGGGCTGCAAGAAAGCCAAGCAGGAGGCGAATAACAAGACGGAGCGAACTTCCAGTAAAGCTCATAGGGATACCGCAGCCGCCATCTAAACCGAACATCTTGGAATCCAAAACAAACCTACAGTAATCGCCGAAAGCCCTGACAGCTCAACGTTGGTCTGGTGCCGCGGAGCCCACGAACTTTGGAGTGACGCAGACGAGGTCGCCCTCGCAATCTGCATCATCACTGCAGCTGCCCTGCAGGGGTTCAGGATTTATGGCAGGATTCATGGTATGCAAGGTCTATGGGCTTAAGGCTCGGGGCTTCGGGGTTTGTTGGTTTAGGGTTTAAGGCTCGGGTGCTGGGGTAGGCTTTAGCTACAAAGTTCTAAGGCCGCTGAGGGCCTGAGGGCGGCATTACCTTCCCGAAAACTTGCCATTAAGTCTTCCCTCTCAGCTTCCTCTGACTATCTCCGACTTCTGCAGAATACTCCAGGATGTCCCGACCTTCACACGTACCAGGCCTAAACCCTAAACCCTAAACCCCTGAACCCCTAAACCCTAAACCCTAAACCCTAAAACCTAAACCCTAAGCTCCATGGGAACGATCGCGTCACTGCTAGGCGCTATTTTCTGTAGAAGGGACCTCGAAAGCTGCGAGCTACTGTTGCTGATAGGAATCCTGCATTACCTTACGGACTCGAAACTATGGGAAATTATGGTATCTTCCTTATTATGGGTACTGCAGGATGTATATCATCAACCACATTTCTCCTACTCCAACCTCAGCTTCAACGCTTCTGCCCTCGAAGGCCGACTCTGAACTGAACTCGACACCCCCGCATGCCACAACCCCAAGAGAAGAAGCCCCCAAAACTGGCTGGGGGGTTCTTCAGCAAGGCTCCCTGAATGGCCTCACAAGCTAGCTCTTGTTGTACGGGAAGGAAAAACACACAAGTCGGAGCAGTCCCCGGAACTCCCATGGCAAGGCCTGGCATTTGTGCAGAGGTTTGCCATTGCCGGAACGGCCGGGTCGGTTATCGAAGAGCGGCGCGTCCTAGTCGCAGGGTTCAGGGTTTCCGGCGTCGCCTTCTTAAAGGGCTCCCCGAAGAGCCCGCGGTTGCTTCGACGGGCGGGGCCACGAGATTCGGATCGAAATCTACGAAGCTCACGAACCCAAGACATCTCCGAACCCGAGACCCCAAAACCCCGCAACTCATGAAGATTTGATAGCCTGAGGACTGTGCTTTCGTAGGAGCAAAACCCAAGCTGTTGAACGCAAGACTCTTCACGCTCGCACGGCGTCCAGATGAGCTGAGCACTGAACACAAGGACCACTGCAAAGCTCCCACATCCGGAAACCTTCGCAAGAGCTGTCGCCCCTACGAAGGCCTTACAGAATCCTGGAAAGCCCCCTAAAAGATGGCCCCTCCTCGTCATCGTCGCCACCGTCCTCGTCATCATCCTTGGCTACTTCCCGGGATTTGATTTGTGTCGACGCAAAAAAACCACTGTGTGTAAGGGAGGCTCGACTATACAGAGAAGTCACAGGCCCAAGAATCGGGAAACCGTGAGAGCTGAGCCCTACCTCGGGGAGTTCGGATGAAGCCTGAACGCCCCAGATCGAAGCGCCAAGCATCATCGTCGCGCTTCTTCAGCTCGAGCACTTCATGAGCTGGCGCGACCTTCTTCACGACACCTTTCTTCCTGAGTTCAATCTGAGCGCGGAAATGCAGATGGTCACAACAGTGTCCGGATGCACAGAACGAGGAGTATCCGCACTGTAGCAGAGCTCCGTGCATCAAAAGCCGGGTCTGCAAATGCACCCAGCCAGTCCTACAAGTACTGTTCTGTAGCGACTATTACCTCAAGTCTCGTAGCACGCTGGAACGTTCGAGCTCGTGTTAGTCTTATTCTGATACAGGGTGTGTGTAGAGCCGCACTTTAGTGGGACTGTGGCGTGCATACGCCCCTATGTTTTGACCTTTTCGACTCGGTATTTGCGAGGGCTTCGAGTTTCATGGTCTTCGGACTTTCGGCGATCTTCTAACCCTTTGAAAAATTCTGCGTTGCCGCTGAAAAACTACATTCAAGCAGTCAGGTTTTGACCACCGGGGACTCGTGTTCAAAGGAAGCGCAAAGAGTGAAGCTACGAGTGCGTGTGCTTCCGAACCTGACCAATAGTTTTGGCCCAAAGCCCCTGTTGAACCCTACAGACACAATCTATCGCGTTTCCCAGTGCTTTCGTGCTCTCACAGCCCCAAAACAGTAGGGGCGGCCATGCGCCGAGTACCCTGTAAGTAGTCTTTTTACTGCGTTTGATGTCCGGTTAGTCCTGATCACAACAAGATTCCGAGACTATAACATAGTGATTATAAGAAACGGTACAACAGCGTCAGCATGCCTCAAGTTGTGCGCTCATATAGACTACCCCCAGCGTATGTCGGGCTCGGCTGGTCTATGTGTATGTGTGTGTGTGCATATACACATATACACACACACACACGGTTTTTCCCATGACGCAGACGATGTGGGCAAGTCTCTGAAGCAGGCAATTCCCCGACACCGGGCGGGGACTTGGGCTGCAGGAGTCTTCTGCCAGTGCGCAGACACAGAGACACAGCCAGGACCTCAATGCCAGCAGCACGAACTTCACGGAAGTCAAGCCGAAACACAGATGACTGCGCCCCAGTAGTTAGAGGCTTGATGCAGGCAAGCCCGTCTGCCCTCGATGCGAGCTGTTTACCCAGCTATCCTATTGTAGCAACACTCCGGAAGCCAAGGGAATGTCTACCAAGAAGTCTTGCTGACATGAACCCTGCTCTAAATCCAAAAGGCCATAGCCAAAGCAGAGACATTGCGAGTCCGGGTCAAGAGCGGTTCAGTTGAGCACAAATGCTGCAGGAAAGTTGGTGAGGGGCATTGTATTAGGCTATGGCGGGACATGTGATAGGAATTGTTTAGTAAGCACGTTTTTGGAACTTCTGTGCGGGTCAAAGGAATAGCACTCTGCAGGCCCATTGTGCAAAACTGCAAGACCAAACTTCAGGAAAGATCCTTACTTGTTAGCAGTGGTTTTCAACCTTTTTTTAGGGTCTCATGGACTTGAAGTTGCCGCAACACACCCGTCCATCAACCAATCGAAAACCGTGCAACCGGATAGTCAATATCAGAGCTTTTCAACAGAAGCTTGTACAGACATACATACATACATACATACATACAGACAGACAGACAGACGGACGGACGGACGGACGGACGGACGGACGGACGGACGGACGGACAGACAGACACATAGCCAGGCAGGCAGGCAGACAGACAGACATGGAGATTCTGGCCTTGCCACGAACAGTAGTCAGGCCGATGACTCAAGAGTTTGATAATTTAACAGAAGAATGTTTTGGAAAAGGTTTCGTGGAGCCTGGAGCCAGCAGCATATCGAACTCAAGACGACAAGTGCATCACAGGACATCCTCGACAATAGCGCCCCAAGACCCTAGATACCATATGAAAGTACTGAATCAGCTATGACCGTCGCTCGGTTTCTGGACCGTGTAGACTCAACGCCCAGCAACTGGCTCCTTACTATGGTGTCCCTCTATCTTACACAAAACGCGCGAGGGTTCTCGGGATACAAGTGCCCCATCGCGCCCGAGCTTCGGTGTTTCTCGATTTCGTTGATCATCCTTGAACGACCCGGTTAACCTAATCTGAGGGCCGTAATACTTAGAACAGGGTTTGTGGGCACATGGTCTGCAATTATGTATATATATATATATAGAAATCTATATATATATATATATATATATATAGACGCAGGAACTCTACGGGCGGCTCACCTGGACCCTAGATGCCTGAATTTAGGAATTCGAAGGTGGGACGCGCGGGGGCGCTCTGCGCGCCTCCTTGTGGAGCTTGGCCTCGGCACTTTGGGCTCCAGTGCTGAAACGAGCGGTTCTCTGGTGAAGGGAGTTTTTAAACACCGGTTTTTAGAAACCCTCTGATGCTTCCTGCTTGGCCTGCCCTTTGGTTGCATGGACTTGAGTTTCAGTTTCAAGTGCTTCTTGTGTAGTGTGTCGGGTTTAGGGCTGAGAGATTCTGGGACTTGACTGCTCCGGGGTTCACTTCAGACCCAACAGGCCAAGAGGTCAAGATGATTCGTCCGGGTAATGTAGGGGCCTTGATAATTGGAATAAGGTTTTGGGGGCTCCTTACTATAATTCTAGTATAAGATACCCCCAACCCTATTCTAATTATTAAGGCCCCAATATTAAGTCTCCAAATTAAGGCTTCCTCTATTGCCTGGTCTGGGGGGCCCTGCAGGACTCTGCAGTCGCAGCAGCCGTCTCGGCGGGCCCTCCTCCTCCCCACGCCACCTGCTCTCAGGACATTCGCTTGGACGGTTGCAGACTCCGTCAATATCAAGGGCGTGGGAATACGAGACCCCACAAGTTGGGAGCCCACAAAATTTTAGGCGCCTTATATAGTACTAATTGACCATGATTTTGGCCGCTAAGTATGCAGACAACTCCAAGGTGCTAGAGCTAAGCAGTCTCTGGCGCGAGGTCTTTCAGATTGCAAGCACAGCTGTCACTTCCTGAGACATGTGGGCGTTTCCGAAAATGAGGGGTACCTTATTTTGGGGTCCTGATAGTAAAGATCCTACCATTTAGGGTGCTATATTAGGGTCCCCTATTTTCGGGAACCCCATCTGACTCCCAACCCGAAGGAATCGAGCTTGCGGCCATGCCGGCCCAAGACACTCAGCCCTGTGGGGTTGGAATCACCGAAAAAAAACCCTTTCGGGGCCCGGCCACTGCCGGACTCGCTCGGACCAGGCAGGCGAGGCACCTGCGCGGAGGATCGTTCAGGCCATTTCGTCCTCTCCGTGGCGCCTATAAAGGCTGAGCAGACGGTGCAGCGACGAAGCAAAGACATTTTAATGCCGAGCCGCCAGCACGCGTCGCTCGAAGCAGTGCTCAAACAACCCTACACACCCCAAACCCTGAAACCGAACCTGAAACCCTACACAAGCCTTGCGCCCAAATTAAGTCCCCAAACCCGAAACGCCCGAAGACACGGCGAGCAATGTCCGGGATCAAGGGCCCCGAAAGCGCTCTCAGCAGCTCGGGGCCGTTTTGGCGAGGCCGCGCTGCCGGAATTTGGGTGGAGCCTTTCAGGTTGAGGGGTTTCAGGACTTGGTTCAGAGTTTGGGGCTTTGGGTGGGGAACACAACCCGAACAGAAATACTGCGTCAAACATGATGCTCGCAGCTGCGGGCACTAATCTGCATGCCTCAGCGCTCAGTTCGGGCAAGGCTTCGTCGCGACCCAAGGCTCAGCACCTGCACCGTGTGGTCAGGGTGGCTTCGAGCATCGATGTTTGTTCATCTTGCCGACTCTGCGGCTTGAGTTTCTCTTGGACTGCAAGGGACCCCAAGTTGGGACATGGCCAAGAGCAAACGACCATTGCAGGTAGGAGCCTCTTTAAGTCTTTGATCGTTCTTGACGGGTTGGGGGGAGGTGCTGAGCTGTTTCTGACGGCATTTGCAGAAGCTTGCTTGAAGGCTCTGCTTGCTTTGTTCTTTTTGAAGGGTCGCCTTTGCGGCGCTTATGCGAAATGTGAGTCTCAGCAAACTGCCAAAGCCTTCCTTGCTAGTCCGTGATGTCCCCATGACGAAACGATGCCAAGACCCAGCCCTGAAGGCTGGAGGCCCCAAACTACCTTTTCAAGGTACTAAGGCTCAAGGCTTGGATTTGATGGTTCCGGGCTTTGTTGTGGACCTCGAGTTAGAGCTGGGAACCAAGGAGCCCAAAAGCCAAGACTTCCTGCGCGCCTGCCTGAAAGAGTCTAGGAAGCTTTGGCTGAGCATTCCAACAGCCATGGAGGGATTACTCACAACAAACGTATCAGAAACACTCGCAACGTTTACAGTAGCAGAGATCAGAACACCAATGCCTGAAGCCTTCCTCCCGTGCAGGCCTGCGCAGTCGCTTTGAATCCGGATCCTGGGCGAAAGAGTAGCCATTAAGCATGAAACAGCAATAGTATAACTCGCTCAAGGAACCTTCAGCAGCAACGAGTGACGAGAATACTACTTGCTAACCGTCGTGGTCGTAATCATCATCATTATCACATCATCATCAACAACATCGTCATCATCATCGACGAGTACGACGACGATGACGAGCACGACGATGACGACCAGACGACGACGACTTCGACGACCGCGACGGCTTGAGCGAAGGGTGACTACCACGGCCACAGGGGCGGTCCTCATCCGGAGCCTGATACCCCAGCGACTTTCCGGTGGACCTACCGCATGGTTGGTTGACGGCAGTAAACAGGGGCAGGGTTGGCAATTTGGGATAGGAGTTCGGGATTTACGAGTTCGGGCTTTGTAGGACTTTGAATTACGGGATCGACGAGCAGCGAAGCGCTTCGGATTGAGACCAAAGCTGCCACATGTGGATAGCTCTCTAAACTAGGGTCCCTTTTAGGGTCCTTTTTATAAGGGTGCCGTACTGTATTGGGGACCTAAAAACGGACTCTAATCTAGAGAACTACCCATGTGCTAGAGGAGCGACCAGGTCTTGGGACTTTCGCTCTTGGGGAAAGTTAGGGTGGGATGACGCACGCGCTCGAAGTTGCCGGGAAGTCCGAAAGCTCAGGGGGTTCAGGATTGAGGTCGCCTGGGGTTTAGAGTCGAAGATTTTGGTTGCTTGATTATTTGAAAAGGGTTCAGGGTTGGCTGAAGTAAGGTTGTTTAGGGTTCCAGGCAGCTTTGCCAGGATCCTCTTGCCGGTAAGCATCGTCTCCGCATAACCTACACCTCTGATCAACCCTGAACATCAAACCTGATACCAACATGAGACTTTGGCGACGGTATTCAGATGGGTAGTTGTCAAAATTATGGTCCCTTTTGGGGTGCCCAAAATAATAGGTGCCGTATTATAATAAGGACCCAAAAGGGACCCTAATTTTGACAACCACCCAGATCTAGACCTGTCTAGATCTTGCTCTCCTAGAAAGCAGCTCCCCAGTCCCTGCCCCTAGAAACTCCACTAGCCCAAGATCTCACAAAAGAAGGCCTCCTCCCAAACAAACCTGAGCAAAAGTCACATCAGGCCTCAAATGGTCCCAGAAGGAAAAGCCGGCTGGCCGTTCGGCCTCTGTTCGGTAGGGCGTGCGTCAGCCGCGGCTTTAAAAGGCAGGAGGAGCACCACCCAACTATGATGGAAACAAATTTGGGTTTAGGGTTTAGGGATGAAGCACCTATGATGAAATAAATTTGGGAGGATGTGATTCCCCTAACCACCTGGTCGGTGACCGTTTTCTTTTCTGGACCGCCGTCTGCCGTCTCACTCGCGGAAAAGACGCTGGATGTCTTCCCCAGTGAGCCGCAGCAAAGCTTCGTTGTTGCCTTCGATCGTGCTGTCAAAGATCTTCTGCTTTTTTCCTTGCAGCTCCAGGATCTTCTCCTCGATCGTGCCCTGCGACACAAAACGGATCACCTGCACCGGCCGGCTCTGCCCGATTCGGTGCGCACGCTGCATCGCCTGCAGCTCGGCAGCAGGGTTCCACCAGGGGTCGAGCAGCAGGACGAAGTTGGCTGCTTGCAAGTTCAAGCCCTCGCCTCCGACTTGCAGAGAGATGAGGAGGATGCGAAGCTTGGGATCGGATTGGAAGGATTCTACAATGCCCTGCCTCTTCTTCACTTGAGTATTGCCACAGAGGAGGCCGGCTCCCCATTTCTTAAGCTTCCAGTGCGCTATCTCAAGGAAGTGTGTGAACTGGGAGAAGACCAAGAACTTTGCAGCAGGATCCTCGCGAAGAAGCTGCTCGATTCGGCTGGCCACAGCATCCAGCTTGCTGGAACTTCTGAGTTTCCCTGAAAGCTCCTGCAAAAACTCCTTTCCGGGCATCGCCCCCCAAGCACAGGCAAGGCAAGACGGCTCCTCCTCACCTTCCGAATCGTGCAATCTGTCCCTGACGTAGTCCGCCCAGCAGTCTTCGTGGAAGCCATGGCCACACTCCAGGACCGTCTCGGCCATGCCTTGGCAAAGCGGGCATCTCCCAGAAAAGACCTTGTTGTGATTCACCAAGAGGGGGTGGCAGGCAGCCTGGCGCTGGCGCGCAAGAAGGGCAAAGACGTGGCAGAAGTTTTTCGTCAGATTCGTTGCGTAGTCTTCGAACACGGCCAGGCTTTGAGCTCTCACAGAGTCGTAGAGGTGCCGCTCAGGGCTGCTCAGCTTGACCTTGTGCTCGGACACATGCATCGGCGGAAGCCCAATGCCGACGGCAAGCTTCGTTCTGCGCAGGAGCAGCTTTTGCAAAACCTCAAAGCGGAGAGTCTCCATTGCGACTTTGCCTCTGTCCCGGAAGCCATGCTGTCGAATAGGAGTGAGAATCTCGGATGTGAAAATGCTCCGGTGCAGCATCCGGCTGTGCTTGCACTCGCGGCACTTCTGCGTGCCGGGATCGCACTGGACGTCAAAGCACTCACAGCTACAGCCCTTTCTGGCGCATCTCAGATAGGCAAAGGGCCGCAATCGCAGGAAGCGGACCATGGGGGACAGCTCGCCTGCATGCGCTTACTCTTACTCAACGAAACGCTTGCTAACGCAATGGCCAGGCAGGGTGGGCTCAAAGCAAGGCATGCTTCTTGGAGCCTGTGCCTAGGCCGATTGAGACACACCTTATCTGTGAACGCGAGGCGAGGGTGCCATGCGCTTCTGAAGAAAGCCCCGCTTCGTTTCAGCTTTAGTGTTGATCTTTGCGGAACCTACAAACACCTAAACCCTAAACCCTAAACCCCATGCCTTAGCAACTGAGGGCTGCTCGGGGCAGGGCACGAGTCATATTGAGCAGCAGATGCTTCCATCGACCCGAAGCCCGAAGTCTAAACCCCAATTTAGGGTTTAGGGTTTAGGGTTTAGGGTTTAGGGTTTAGGGGTTTAGGGTTTAGGGTTTAGGGTTTAGGGGTCAGGGTTTAGGGTTTAGGGTTTATAGGGTTTAGGGTTTAGGGGTCTATGCCCACACAAACTTCAAAGAGGTTTGTTTCCCGTCCCTGCCCGCCTGTCCGGTTCTGCAGCGGAGTTCCAGATACACACCATCTCAGAGAAGCCTAGGTTTTAGGGTTTAGTGTTTAGGGGTTTAGGGGTTTAGGGTTTAGGGTTTAGGGGTTTCGGGTTTAGGAGGTTCATGGGCAGTTATAAGTAGGGTTATAAGTAGGGTAACTATAGTTATAAGCTACATTAGGGGACTTATAACTCAACTTATATCTACCCATGAACCTCCAAGTAGGTTCTGGCCTAGCAGCCTGACCCAACGTAACGTGTACCACAGGTCCGATTAAAATTCAAGGGTTCTGGCAACCGAAACCCTACATCCGATACCTGGTTCGCTATCCCTATGAACGGGCACAGCTTTAATTTGAAGGCCCAGAAGCTTTCAACCTCAGCGCTGCCTGGCTGGTGAGGGAGGCCAGGTTTCTCACGCGATGGGCCTCATCCAGCACCACTCGTTGCCAAGGAATCTGAAAGAGCGGAGGCTCCGCGAGTGCCTCGCATGCAGACCTCTTTCGTTTTGATGGCAGGGCCTGGCCCTCTGGCACAGCAAGCTCGCGCGAATCTCGGTGTTCCCTCTCCAACTTGCTGAAAGTCGTCAGCACCAGAACCTTCCGGCGTCTGCCTGTGCCCACATCCTCTGGCAAAGCCTTTCCTGCACCGTACAACGTGAAGAGCTGCAGGCTTCCTGGACTCACAAAGCGTTGGATCTCCTGCTCCCATTGGTAAAGACTTGTCAAGGGCACCACCACTAAGGTTGGTGAGGCCGAACTTGAAAGGATCAGCGATATGATCTGCAAGGTCTTTCCCATCCCCATCTCGTCTGCAAGGATACCACCACGACACTCCCCTTCCTCCTGCTGCAACATCCAAGCCAAACCCTCCGCCTGAAAAGGCAGCAAAGACCCACGCAATGACGCGGGTGCCTTTGCTGGGGCGATCCTGAACCCGGTGCCCGTCTGACTCTCTGGAAATACGGGCTCTTCCAGAACAGGCGAAGAGCCGGGAACACCTAGGCCGAGAATCTCGTCCATGAGGGAGTCCTGCACAGCATCTGGCAGCGCATCAAAGGCAAGAACCGCCTCGAGCATCTTTTCGCGTCCCTGCCTCGCAATTTCAACCAACTCTGCATCCTTGGCAGCACACGTCACATGCATCCAAACAGCCGTGGCGTTCCTGTCACCCCGCGTGCCCGTTGTGGGGTAGCCTATCGTCAGCAAGCTCACATCAAACTTCCTGCCACATCGCCGGCAAACATGACTGCGCGACTGCGCTCTCTGCACGTAGAACTTGCCAGGAAAGAGGTAGCGCGGGGGCACTCCAGCGCACTGTCGTGGCGACAACCATTTCCCGTCCAACATGTGCCACACGCAATCGCTGGCGCGGGGAGGGGCTCGGGCATCGCCGGGATCAGCTAACGACATGGCCATAGCCACGGTCCTCTGAATGCTGCCTGCTACCAGCCCCGCAACCTTTACTGACCAAGAGCCTCCCGCTGCGCAGCGCATCGGAGACTTCACACCACGAAAGCTGTCTGGATGACAACCGACAACTTAAAGCGAGTCATCCTATTCCCGCTAGCCGCAAGTCGCGCGCAGAGAACATCCCTACGTCCTAGACGCATGGCACTTGCAGAGGCCTCACCTCCGGTTGCAAGTATTCTGTATTTGCCAAGAGCCCATAACCCTAAACCCTAAACCCGGCAAGCCCTCAACAACTAGATCCCGAAATCCTTTGACTCGAAACCCGTCAGAACTGAAAAAATCTAAACACCTGAGACCCTAAATCCCCTCTTACAGCCTGAACACCTGAAACCCCGTCACGCCCTTAGCACCGCGCGGTCTTCGCTTCTTCGGCTGGAGACTCGCTCTCAGCCAGCCTCAGAAGCTGGAGGGATCAGAAGCAAACGAAGGCACGGCGAGGAATAAGCGCTTTGCAGGCAAGAAGTGTAAAACATCGGCTGAGAAAGGCGTAGTGTTCTTGGGTACACAATCACCGGCACTCGGTGCCTTTTTTATTGTAGCTCGAGCTCAGGAACAGAAGCAAAGGAAGTCCTACAGGTTGTGAGGGTTGCTAGGAGGCTGTGGTGGGTCAGTCAGGACAGGAGCCGCCGAAGTAGAGAGCGAAGATGCCTGAGAAGTCGGCCGCTCCAGCGGAAACCCTAATTAGGGTTTAGGGTTTGTTTAGGGTTTGGGGTTTATGCCTGAAGGCAGTCTGTCAGGCATCTCCAGCAGAAACCCTAATTAGGGTTTAGGGTTTATTTAGGGTTTAGGGTTTATGCCTGAAGGCAGTCTGTCTTTTCTGGCTTGGGGATACGCGTAGCTGGAGGACTGCATTCCGGTCGGAATGGCTTCCTCTGAAGAGGCCCCTGCCCGACTATTTCAAGGAGGTGTCCGGCTTCAAACCCAAATCGGCATAAACTGGGCCGGACAGAGAAGACTTGGGCACGACATAGAGCATGCTCTGACCCATCATCACGGTCATCAAGGAAGCAATGGTAGTATGCCAAACGCTATACAACAACAAAAAACTGAACCCGAAACCTAGACTGGCCCCAGAGTTCTAGACCCCACGTCGGGTCTGAGGATGTCGCAGATCTGGGCGAGCTTTGGCCAAAGCCTCTGCGTGCAGAGGCTGAGAGCTTGGCATCAGGGGATTCAGTGGTGAAAGGTTTCTTTTGGTTTGTGAGTGTTTAGGATTTAGGGCTTGCTCTCAACTTGTTACACATGCACGAAAAGAGTCAAGTGCTTGTGAATTGATGAAGCGCGGTATAGCAGCAAAGATCCAACAAGCCCAGCATTCCATAGTACTGGGCTTGCGCGAATCATCTACCACCAGGTTGGCCGGAGTGTTCGCACGGTTTTGTGGTGTGTGTCTGCGATGACGGTTTTGGGGCTTGGGGAACAGGATGTCGTGGTCTATGATTTAGCTTTGGGGCTTTGGGCGGCAGGGTCAGCTTTAACACCATTTCTCCGAGAACTCAGGCTCTCAGAAACTCGTCTCTCGGGTTCGTGGCTGCTGTGACTCTCGGAAGGCTCAGCTACTTGGAAACTACACATGCGAATGCGCAAGGCTCCGCAAGGGCGCAACAGAAGTCACGCCGCCTACGAAGTCTCGACCCAACGTCGCAGAAAATCCGAGCCTCCTCAAAGCGACCCGACAAGAGATCCCTTTCGGGTGTGCCGCTGACCTGCCAGGTGAATTCAAGATAGCTGGTTTGCAAGATTCCCCGTAAAGCTCTCACTTCGAAGACTCCTCAAGCAACAGTGTTGCCGGTATCACGTCAAGCAAACAGTCCGGGGGAGCTAGCTGTCTCCGCCCAGAACCCAACAGCCAGCATCTAGTGGGTTTGGTCTTAGGAATAGCAAATATACAAAATTGCTGGCAGCACCACCACCACCACCACCACCACCACCAGCTGGCAGCAGTCGGAGCAGGAGCAGGAGGAGGGTTTGGTAGCATCGGTTTTTTGGGTTCAAAACTGCGACTCCTGGCCTGCTCCTTCTTCTCCGACAAGAAGCGGCGAATCCCGTGGACGTGGGTTTCGGAAGCGTAGTTCTGGGTGACCTCGGCTACAGGATCGCAATGGTAGGTTCTTGAGCGAAGAAGGCATCATGTGACTCGACGCCTACTGCGCGCTACCAGTAAAGCGCAGTGCGTTGGGTTCCAGGCATAATACACCTGTGACATACCACTGCCGCATGTCCCCTACTTATCCGTCTCGACAGTGCCCGAAATCCTGGTCCTATGTCTCCCGTCACATTCTTGAGCCACAGTTCTATTCTACATGCAGGAAAGCCCTCATGCCACTGGGCTGCAGTGCCGTGATGGCGCAGTGAGCATCGCAACCGGAAGCCCCCAAACTTGCGTACAACAGAGCGCATTGAGATGCGGCCGTCCGGGAGCTGGGACGTGGCATCATAAAGAGGAGGGAGACTCTGGTTTAGGGTTTTAGGGTTCAGGGTTTCTGCATCTGGGGACAAGTTATCAATGCCTTGCCTACTCTCTACCATCTCCTACAGTGCTGCCGTTCGGATGACTACCCTCTCGATCCGAAGCCCTGCATCAGTGTGTTTAAAGAACTCATTGCCACCAAGTGGCTGCAATCGTGTCATCGTCCAAATTTAGGACGCAATGCCTCGGACAGCTCTGCGAGGGCAGGAAACAATGTTAACAGTTGAGCACCTACCCAATTCTACTTCTCTTCGTGGCAGTATCCTGGCTCCCCCAAGTAGCACTCCCTGCGCAGAGGTGCCAGGGTCAAGCCTTGAGGTGTTGGTAGCATTGTCCGCCGATGTTCGTGCGCGCAAGAAATGCTACCTGCGCGTAGGATCAATCCTAAATAAACCTTTGAACGCTGAGGCTCCTAAAACCTGAACCTCAAGGCTCTACGGCTTAGCCCCCGAGCTGCTGAATCTGAAGCCCCGACACAACAAGCCCCTATGTTGCGCCCTAAACCTCTAGGGTTTAGGGTTTTGGGCTTAGGGTTTAGGGTTTAGGATTTAGGGTTTAGGGAAACTCTTCTACAGCAAACGCTAAACCCCAATCAGGCCCTTGAATCCCCAACTCTTCTTCAAGCCTTGAACGCTCAGCATCCCGAACACCAAGAAATGCCCAAAAAAACAATCAAAACAGGCCGTGTGGGTTTGGGGCTTACTGCTTTGGCCCTCATTCCAAATCGCAGCTGAAATTCTCACAAAGATCTCTGCTTAAGCGCCCTAAACACCAAACCCCTTGCAAACTCCCCTCCCTTCCGGCTGCGGCCACGTCGGCCACCAGCCACTGGGGATGAAGACCAGGTCGCCCGGCCCGCAGGTTCCCTCCTGGATAACTCTGGGACTTCTACACACATGCAGAAGCGAGCAAGCAAGCCAGCATGCATGCATGCAGATGTGTGTGTGTGTACATATATATATATATATATATATATATATGTTGCATGCATGCATGCATGCATGGCTGCATGTATGTATGTTTGTATATACACGGATACATATAGACATCGCAATTGTGCATCCTATATGTATGCATACTCAAGCCTAACCAACATCGGGTGTTTGGATAGTGTGTTGGTTTCGGCACGGGTTGCCACTATGGATTCGAAGTTCCGATGCCCTCACGTTACCTGGTCATTAAGCAAGGCCGACGGGCAGGCGAGAGGTGCAAAATCTTTCCAGAGAAGCAAAGTGCCGACAGGAAAGCAGCTGCGATCCTTCAGCTCCCAAGCGGAGTTCAGCTGAACATGTCTCTTGAGCCTGGGGCAGAACCACGCACGGGTAAAACGGAGGACTACATGTGCGTGGGATTCTAATCGGGGCTTCCGCATGTTTCAGGTCCGAAATGTGGCGGAATGGTGAAATCAACATAGGTGTATATGCATCAGCTTATGCTCCTACCATTGCTAGGAGTGCCACTGCATGGACTCAAAGATTTGTTCGTGAAGCAGCTCATCGCTACATCTGTCTACCAATCACCGTTGTAACTGAGAGTAATGGCCGTTGAACTTAGTTCCGCCACGAGTCAAGGTGCTGACGCATCTCGACTTAGCGGCCCCGAATCCCAAACCCTAGTGCGAAAGAAAACTTCAGCTTGGGAGCTCTTCGTAGAAGTTTGCGAACCTGGGTTGCAGGTCATCTGGGCATGGATCTTCGACATATGGAAGCCCCAAGCATCGCCAGAGCGCCGAGTCTGTGGGACATGTACTGGTCATGTTGCACAGGGTTTTTCTTCAGTTCCGGGGTGGCCTGCAGGTGAAGGAAGTCGCGAGCTGAGACGGAGGAGGCACGCGGAGCTGCACTGAAAACCGAAACCCGAAAGACGCCTAGAACCCTCCGGAGGCTTCAAACCTACACCATGGAAAAGCCTTGTGACGAGACCATAACCAGACCCACTCAAAACACAGACACACACACACACAGAGAGACACGCAGACGAAGCAGAGAGGTGCCCTGTGCGTCTCCAAGCAAGAAGGCCGGCCAAGAAGCGGCCAAGTTTTTGCTGAGCCCAAAATACAGAGCCTGGAACCCGACAAAGGCCGACAAAAACCCGAAGACAGCCCAAATCAAAGCGATCAACCGAGACTCAAGGTGCCCTTCGGGAATTCTCTAAGTATGCTCTCATGGGCAAGGCCACTACAGAATCTCCAACCGAAACCCTAAGCGGAAACCCCCAAGCTGCGAGAATCTTCCAAGATCTCAGCCGGGAAGCCACTCCAGCAAACTGAGAGGCTGCGTGACCTGCGACATTTGGTTCTTGTTCCAACCACTGTCCCTGCTTGGAAGGGGCTTCCCTACCTTGAATCGTGACACACCACCCCCACAAGCTGGACAGCTTAACTTCAAGGAGGGCTGTCTTTGTGGTAGGGCGTGCGAGCCTTAGTAGGGGCTTCCGAGAAGGAGCCGCTGGCCAAAACCCCTGAAACGAATTCTCCAGTCACTTGGCAGGGATCTTCCTCTCGGCTCCAGATAAATGCGGTTAATCAGGATTCCACATTGCTTCTAACAGCTACGACCATGGCAGTCCAGCAGATCGCAAGCCTTCTGCTCACGCCTGCAGGGCACCTCTTAATTCAAATGCATCACAAGCAAGCCTAGCTCAACACCATACATTCAAGACCCTCAAAGCCAAACCCCAAACTCCCAAGCCGAGCACAAAACCCTGAATCGCCAAACCACAAATCTCAAGCCCCAAATCCAAACATGGTAACCCTAAACCCGAAAAAGCCTCGAACCACAAAGCCCAAAACAAAAAAAAAACAGCCGAAACCCGAAAACCCATAAATTCAGAAGAAACTACACTGCGCACAAACCCAAACCCCCAAACCATGAACCAGCGAAGCCCAAAAGAAGACAAAGACGTACAGTCTCTCGATAACATATCATATCCTTTGTACTATACCGAGACCGCTTCTTTCGCCGCCTCTGCGCCATCCTTCGACCTCCGCTTGGTGGAGGCTTAAACGCGTCGATGATTGATTATTCATACTGCACACTTGACTTAGGAGTGCTGATGTTGCTTTACTGCCTTACCACAAAGAAACCCAGAGCATGTTGAAATCATGAAGGTCCGGACAAAGATTCGGCTTTTTGGGGTGCCGTCTTGCGCTTCCGGGCACGGGCTTTTAAGGTCTGATTGCAATTCCAGGACAGTTTATGTCACTGGCTACCAAAACCATAAAGTTTCAAGGAAAGGCCCAGTTCAAGCTGCCCAAAGAAACGAGAGCTGGTTGAGCAGAGAAGCGGGTGGACGCCGGGCGGAGGGCATCCTTACCATGCTTCGAGCTTGGGACTGTGGCGAGGACTCAATGTCGGTGATGCGGGCTGGAGATGGGCTCTGCAACTCGTCAAATGTCAAAAACCCTCAAAAGAATCTGATGCCCTAAACCCTAAAATTCCGTCTGCCTGCTATGACCCGATGCGGGCCCCCGATCACCTGGTGGCAAGAGCAGCCAGCGCTTCCGACCCCGGACCACGGCGTTCCAGGCGCAAGTCTTGTTCCTTCAGCGTTTGGGGGGTTTCAGGGCTGCAGGCTTGGAAGCATTCGAACCTTCAAGATGTCAACGGGCTTCAGGGTTTAGAGTTCTATGGCTTTCCAGGATTTCAGGTGCTGGGGGCCTGCGTTTCAAGGCGGTTGGTCTTCGGTTTCGAGGGTCGGGCACCGTGAAAGGTTTGGAGATCAGCGTTTTGGCGGAGACGTCTCAGTCTCAGGTCTTTGTGAATCAGGGACTGGCAATCTCACGACGAAGCATGCCTTCTGGTAGAAAGGGTATGCTGTAGTTTTTAATCATACTGGAGCAGAAACGGGATCCTCTTTCCAAATATTCAGGCCGCTAGCTTTCCTGCCAGTGACTCGCCCCGTAAGGGCCCTGCGACTCCCCCAAAATTCCCCCCCTCTCTCTAATCCCCAAGCTGCACGAGACACACCGTCTCAACTCTAAAGCCGTGGACCCCGAAGCCTACCTGAAGCCCAGAAAATCGTCGCAAACCCTAGACCCTAGAATCCCAAACCCAGCTTACCCTAAGCCCGAATTCTGCTCCACCCGAAACCCCCCGCTTACTTCACGCCGAAGCCACGGGTCCAGGTGCCACTTAGAGCCGCTCCGCCGGTGCCCGATGAGCAGCCACCGGAAGTCGGGTCGCTGGTCCTTCGTGGCAGAGCGACTCGGAATTCATTGTCGAAAAAACTTCAATCCAGAACTAGCCATGGTTTGTCGGTTGAGCCTCTGTGCAGCAGGGCCCGGGCGGTGGGGCGGTGGGGCCATGGGAAAAGGAGACGGATTTGATCCAGTCAGGACCGTCTTCCTGACTCGTCCCTAAACTGCGGACAACCACCTTGCCCTTCCCTCCATCCGCGGAGGTCTCCGAAATCCGAAATCCGCTGACGAGGAGCGCCAAGAAGGTCGAAGAGGTCACGGCCACGGAAGAAGCGAGGAACCTTCGAGAATTAGACTTCGGGGTTGTGGGCCGGTTCTGCTTCTAGCGTTTGGGGTGCAGCCTCGAGGGTCTAGGGTTTGCTGGCGTCAGATCTTTCTGTTACCCTAAACCCTAAACCCTAAACCCTAAACCCTAAACCCTAAACCCTAAACCCTAAACCCTAAACCCTAAACCCTAAACCCTTAGGGTTCGGGGGGGGCAGGGTTTCCAGGAGCCTAGGCTTCCCAGGGAGCCTGGCACCCCTGACTCAGGGAATGTTGCTATAGAGCTTTCAGACGTTGTCATTAGGCTTTCAGGAATGGTCCTTAACTGACGGATCTATCGGCTCTTCAGGATATTTGGGGTCGATAGCATGCAAGGAAGGCAGGGAGCATTTTGCCTCTGTTGATTTGCTGCTTTCAAGTGTTCCATGCGCTTCGAACCAGGGGAAGGACTGATCTTTCTCTCGCTTGGACCTCCGGAAAACCACCCAAATTCGAGATGCTGTGATGGGGCTCCCGATGAACAATCGAAAATCGAGTCCAGAGGTGCGATATGGGAACACTGCTGACTTTCGGGTGCTTCGTGCCTCGTAATCGTCCAGCAAGGCCTTCGCTCGCCTGGAGAAGTACTTGTCGAAGATGAACATGGGAACGTCATCCATGTTTCCTGAGACACACGGTCAAGTCGAGAGCGGCGTTCCCCTGAGACTGCTTGACGTGAGGATAGCAGATCAGGAAGAATGGGAGGCTTGATGGCTTGATGTGGCCAGTCTGTAAGTACGCATCAACCTGGCCCTGCGTTTGCAGAGATGACATCAAGTGCGCGAAACATGTTCTGATCCTTACCGATCTCATGAGCATAGCATAGCATAGCATAGCATAGCATAGCACAGCACAGCCATACATCCAAGAATAGAGCGAACCACAGAGCAGCAATCTGATCTTGGAAAGCAAAGAGTCGATCCGCATAGGCATAGAACTCCTGCGCCGGACTGTTCGCGCGATTGGAGCTTCAGGAGAGGCATGAGTGGGGAAGAGGGGTTGCGGATTCAGGTTTGACAAAGCCCCAGGGAGGGGCGGGAGGGTTTGCAGTAGGTTGGGTTTAAATATTGTCTGGGGGTCAGTGGTGTGCGACAGGCCATGAAACCGATACACACAGCCAAAGCACGAACATCCGTAAGGAATGATGTGCTTGCGGGTCGTCAGGCTAGATGACACACACACACACGAATGCAACCCAAACCCTATAGCACCATCAATGGCGCTCTGAACCAACATTTCAAAATAAACTTCTCACAAACCCCAACCCTACCGAAGCATGACAGCCCCCAACATCATCTCTTCACCGCATGTTGAACAGTCTGACCATCTAAGACCAAAACTTCACTGGAAATCCTTGACTCTTAATTCAAACCCCGAAAGCCCTTAAGCCCAAACCCGACAGTACAGACGGTCACGTCACCTGCAGGGGAAAGTCGCAGGCTCCGGCCGCGAAACGCGTGTCCCCGAAGCGCCTGAGGAAGTCCTTCGCCATGAAAGCATAGCAATTACCTGTTACCTATACCATTTTTTTTTTGGGGGGGGGCCCTTACCTTCAGCCCCACCAGGTTGGGGGTCCAACCTTTTCACGGTCTAGACTCTCGGCCCGAGATGTCCAGAGTCCGCCCCAAACCGTCCTCCCGCGACCAAGTCTTCATTGCCGGCCAATCAGTCACACAGCCTCACGGGAAACTTGGGGGAAGTCTCTAGAATCCTGCTCCCTAAAGCTCAACATCCATCAATTGGTTCTTTAAGGTTCTTCTTCAGGTTGGAAGTGTATTCAACTAATATGAATTCGGGGATATTGTTTTGCAGTCCGAGCTCTGCATCGGCAGCATGAGACAGTGTTGGCAGCTCTTTTGCCTTCCAACACGACGGGGCAGCTTTTCTGCTCGAAGCGTTGGATGAACTCCTGGAGGCGCCGCAGGACATAAGGATCCAGGTTTAGGGTTTAGGGTTTAAGGGTTTCGGGTTTAGGGTTTCGGGTTTAGGGTTTCGGGTTTAGGGTTTAAGGGTTTAGGGTTTAAGGTTCAGGAGGAAGGTTCAGTGTGCCATCCGAGCACCATCACCAAGATTCTGAATGACCATGTGCTACCACTGGCTTAGGAGACGCCGGGGTTTGCTTTAAGAGGACGTCTGACTGAGGGCTGAAAGCAAGGGCGGCTTCAATTTCACTGATTTCTGGCAGTCCTCAGTTCCCTAGCGAAAATCGTACTACATCTGTATCTCATCGGACCCCCAAAAGAAGCGCGGCCGTGCCACTCACAACAAGCAGAAACTTGACCCCCAACTCTAGACCCCAAACCCCCAGACCCCAAAGCCCGGAACCCCGAATGCGACCGGAGAAACCCTGACCCCTACAACCCGAAAACCAATCAATCCCGAATCCTGAGCCCCTATGGAGCAGCCCCATCTCGCCTGAAATTCCGAGAGGAACCAGGGCACAAGAAAAAGCCTAAACCCTGCAACCGAAACCCCAATCCCCCCCCCGGACGCTACACCAGAAAATTCTGATACCCTAAACCCTAAACCCTAAACTTTAAACCCTAAACCCTAAACCCTAAACCCTAAACCCTGGAGCCCCCCAAAAAAGCTCGTCCTCGGTGGAGAGCTCCGATGCCTGGACGCGAGGCAAAGTGTCTGCCTCGAGCCAGGACTCCTCCGAAAGGGATCTTGCTGGGTTTGGGTTTAGGGTTTAGGGTTTAGGGTTTAGGGTTTAGGGTTTAGGGTTTAGGGTTTAGGGTTTAGGGTTTAGGGGCTATCTCAAACATGATCCTTTTTAATCCTTATTGGGCTTTATTAAAAATGATCCTTTTTAATCCTTATTGGGCTTTATTATAAAATGATCCTTTTTAATCCTTATTGGGCTTTATTATAAAGTGATCCTTTTTAATCCTTATTGGGCTTTATTATAAAATGATCCTTTTTAATCCTTATTGGGTTTTATAATAAAGAAAATGTAAAATTGTATCCAACACGGACCCAGGGATGATGTCGTGGGGGGTCGGGGGGGCTGCAGAGGATGCATCATCGAATGTCTTCAAAACTTCCTGTGCCAGGTGCTGCGGGGTTAGGGCTGAAGGGTTAGGGACTTGCGGCTTAGGGCCTGTGCGTTCCGGGGCTAGGGAGAAGGGTGACTTCTTGGAGTCGGGAAACTCTCAAGAAATACAAGTTTGCTTGTTGGAACCCTCTGGAAGCTCGAAGCTGTGGTCCCAAACTCGGTACCAGGAAGGTGCGGTTCGGCAACCCCCCGAAAACTTCGTGGAGGCTGACATCCTGGGAGGATGCTTCGGTTCCTCAAACTGTGGAGGGAAGTCCTGCAACTCTGTCGCGGCATAGTAGAAGCCGCGGTAAAGCACGTCACTGTAGACCTTACAGGCATCCCGGCGCAGACAGATGGATGGCTGGAGCTGCGTTGTGCTTCTTGCTGGCCTACACTGCGTCAACTCAAAATAGTGTCCAAAAAAACACAACAACACGGTGAGAGCGCTTCGATCAAGCACCCGCCGCCTCCAAATCCAAAACCCTGACTCCCAAAACTAGCCCGCAGACCTATAAAAAGGAAGTAACCCGAAACCACCTGATCGAGACACGTGCGAGCCCAACCATCCCCCCTTTCCCTCCAGAGAAAGAAAATGGACCAGATCGTCTCCAAAGTGCCCTCGACTGAGGCTTTGCAGGCGGAGGCCTCGTGCCGTGGCTGAAGGCAAAAGCCTCCATCCAGGGCTGTTGCTTAGGGTTTTGGGGAAAGGCTGGGAAGGAGCTTTGAGGAGGTTGTAGGGTTCGGGGAATTGGTTGGGAGGTGTTGAAGCGTAATGTTGACAAAGCTTGGGTTTCGTGCAAAGGAATCACATTGGAGCGGAGCGGAGCGGAGAGGAGAGGAGCACCATCCGTGACTGTAGACCTTCCTTTGGCCTCCGGCCTCCCGCCAGCTGCAACCTCCCCAGCGGAGCGCAGGCCCAGTACATCCTCAGTGCACAGAAGCCAGGCTTCCGGGAGCCCGAAGATGCCCTCAACGAAGTCTCGTGGTTCAGATGCCTACTGTAGCAGTTCTCCAGCAACCAAGATGCTGCGGCAACGGACTAGGGCAGGAATGGCCCCACGAGGGGGGGGGCAGAGAGCTTTATCTCGGTTCGGATGGGGCTTGCCGGGACGCTGAAGTTACAACTGGCCCCAGCTTGGGATCGAAACTATGAATCCCAAATTCTAAGGACTTTTTGGGGGTCTCGCAAAGGGATTTAGGATCTCGACACCTAAACCCTAAACCCTAAACCCTACACCCTAAACCCTAAACCCTAAACCCTAAACCATCAAAGTTCAGTCCCCACCTTCGCCGCCCGCAGACGCCAGCAGTTCCCGGAGGCAGTGCACCTGCCAGAGATCCTCGCGGGCGGGAAACCAGACAACGGATTAGGGTTTAGGGTTTAGGGTTTGGGCACATCCCCTCGTACCTATACCTTAAACTACCAACTTTTTTGTAGGTTGCTATTATAAACCCGAATATGGAATTTATAGGGACCCTACAAAAAAGTAGGTTTTGGTAGGTTAAGGTAAGTGGCAATTCGTAGTATAGGTAGCATAGGGCACCCAACAGCCCAACGGAGGAACACACACTTCTACTTCTACTCACGATCATTCGAGGAATGTTCCTTACTAGACAGGATACAAGACTTTCTCGAAGGGCTTCACAGCAGGGCTCCTACAAATCACACGATCACTTTGCTACGAATCTTCTTTGGCGTGCTTTTGAAACTACAAGAACACTCCCATCAGGCCCGATCAGACAGATGCAGCATGAAGGTTGGCACCTCAAAGTATCGAGGGATCCGTTTCCAGTATACGATCGAGCGTACATTCCTGAATTAGGGGGGCAAGAAGCCCCAAACTCGCAGCCCTAAAAAGGTCCTAAACAGTTTAGTGTTTAGGGTTTAGGGTTTAGGGTTTAGGGTTTAGGGTTTAGGAGTCCCTCGGGTATCCCGCGTCTGGTCGCTTTGGCGCCTCGCTGCCAGCAAAAGCCCGGAGCAGCGGCGAGGCGGCGGAGGACCGGGCGAGGCTCCGGGGATCCAAAAGCCGGAGCAAAGCCCTTGGAAGAGGCTTTTGCTAGGGTTTAGGGTTTAGGGTTTAGGGTTTAGGGTTTAGGGTTTAGGGTTGCTTTAGGGATTTGATGGTTTGGAGTGGTGGTTTGGGGTTTTGGGGTTTGGGGTCTGGGGAGTGGTTCATTATTGCGTGGTTTGGGGTTTTGGGGTTTGGGGCTTGCAGACCAAACATCCTAGAAAGCATGAAAGCAAATGAAGCAATCGGCAGCCAAGCTGCAGCAGGCGCTCGTCACCCAACCGTCGCAAACTCGGATGACTTGTCATTGTGTTCAAGTCTTGGGCAGAACATTCAACAGTCTGCGAGTAACATTGTTATTCCAAACTTTTCTACAGTGGGGGCTGAATCATTGTCGGCAAAAGACAAGGTGAAAAGACGATGCCGAGTCCCCAATTCAGTCCCTCGGCCTTGAGGATAGGTGCAGGGGCACAGAAACATACGACGACGGCGACGAGGCCAAGTGGCGAGCCTCCTACAAATTGCAACCTCTTCCATGTGCACCATAGGGGCTTTAATAATGAGAGTGGGACTTGATGTAGATTGTCATGTAGCATTCTGGGGTCCACATAGTAATATTATCACATATCAAACATTACACATTATGCAGGTCCCTGTATTCCCAAACCCCACTTCTGAACAATCCGATGCCGTGCGGCACACCGAGCCCTGAGGCGCGTCGCGAAGAGGCACCGGGATCGACCAAGGCATTGCCCAGGGGGTAGACGCCTTCAAGATACTACTCCCTAGACCCTGATACTGCAGAATCGGAAACCTGCTGACCGTCAGCTCTGATGCTGCAAAAAACAGAGGTACTGGTCGTGATGTGGGAAGCTGAACTTGTAGTCGAAGCTCTTAACAACAACACTCTAAAAGATCCATGAACGATTCTTACACATTCGCGTTGCCATCACCAACATCATGATCACGAGTCACCATGACCATGATGTCGGCGGCAAAGAAATCATCACCGTGATGGTGCTCGTCGTCCGTTCTTCGCCGCTATGCAGAACCGAAGATCATACTTGATGGCTGCCCTTTCCCACAACTCTTGTGTTAGTGATCACAGCCATGTTTGACAATTTCCTGGTCACCGCCAGCAGTATGACCGATATCACCGTGATTTTTTGGGCTGGGATTCGACAAGTTTGACGTCACAAGATGTCTAAATATCTGGCAACATCCTGAACCCTCAGCAACCTTAGAACCTGGCTCCTCGAAGATTCAGCGCTTCACCACCGAAAGACACCAAAAATCACAAGTCCCTGGCACCGAGCGGGTGGACGGCGCGCAGACGCCGCGTAGCTTCCATCGGCGGCCGCCGCTCCCCAGCCCATCAACCCATGAGCGCGGTCACGGTTTCGGCTTTGGGGTTTAGGGTTTAGGGTTTATGGGTTTAGGGTTTAGGGTTTAGGTCAAGTCAGGTCAAGTGCTACGGCTACGGGGCTGTGTAGGGTGTACCGCCAGTTCGGGGGAAGGCAGGAGACTGAATCGAGTTGCCGGCGCAACGTCATTGTACTGCAAAACTGCACCGGTGGTTGAAATAGCCTAGCTGCAGCGAAGCTTCCCACAAGAATGCTGAAACGAATCCAAGGGCCCTGGCGACCTTCCATCCCAGGCTCGCACACCCTTCACACCCCGACCCCTACAATCCTCTGAGCCTCTTTTCGGCACCCATGCGGGCCGCTGCCCTGATGCGGATGTTCGCGCCGCCCGTCAGGTCGTGTTCGAGGCTGTCGGAGGCATTGACCTGCCGCGCTTCGACACTCATGACTCATGTTGTTACCGTTGTGACGAGTGCTGGCTCTTATCGTTATGATCGCCATAAGTACGCATGATATTGTAGCAGGAGCAGGTGGATGAGGAGCTGTCGCAGTACTCGTCGTCGTCTTAGTCGCAGTCAGTCGTGGTGGTGGCGGTGGTGGTGGTGGTGGTGGTGGTGGTGGTGGTGGTGGTGGTGGAAGTGGTGGTGGTGGGGGTGGTGGCGATTGTGGCGGTGGTGGCGATTGTGGCGGTGGTGGCGGTGGTAGTAGTAGCAGTAGTAGTAGTAGTAGTAGTAGTAGTAGTAGTAGTAGTAGTACTAGTAGTACTAGTAGTAGTAGTAGTAGTAGTAGCAGCAGCAGCAGCAGCAGCAGTAGAAATAGCAACTGTAGCAGCAGGAGTCGGAGTGGCCATCACTGCCAGTCGACTCCATGCTTTGAGGAGAGACCGAACACTTCAGAGGCACAGGGTCAGTCCTGAGCAACCTCAAAGGCACACTGGCTTACCAAAGAGATCCCCAAAAGTCGTGAAGATTATGCAAAAGGCATGCAGCACACAGAGGCCGCAAGACAGAGTGCCAACAGCAGGAAGACGCGTGGTTCAGCTAGACGTAACAGAAGGGGGTAGAGGCGAAGGAAGCACCAATGGTCTAAACCCTAAACCCTAAAGCCGTAGAGTCTAAGCCTCATCCTGGCTTCAGCCTCAGAAACATCATCCTGGCTTCAGCCTGAGCATCTGGGCGTCCTCAGGTAGTTGCTCTCAACGGGTCTTTCAGAGCCTCGTCGTCGACGCAGCTCACCGTGGCAAGGCCCAGGCAAGGCCCAGCAAGTCCTGGGTCTCGGGGTTTCGGGCTCTTGGTTTTGGGATTTCCGGCTTAAAGTCTCTGCACTTGAAGTGCACTTTAGGCCGAAGATTCCAGGGCTTGGGCTTGGGCTTTGGGCTTTGAAGCTTAGGTCTTTCCTCGGACTTCGACGTAGCGAACGAAGTGTCCCTTCGGTACTCATCTTTCCGAGGGGAGGGTCTGTTGGCACCCACACGATTTCTACGGGTGGAGATTCTCAGTTAAAGCTTCTGTTTTGTTCCTTTTTGTCTTTGGCCTGCGGGACCCAAAAGTGGACGCCGGCATCCCTTCCTTTCCAAGAAAGAGCCCCTCATTCAGGATCCCTGCTACCCTTGGGAGGGGCCAACACGACGCCAACTTCCGTGGCAAGGCTCTGCGGGGGAGAGACGTCGGTGGAGCAGATGCCACTAGCCTCAGCCGTCTCGAAACGTGGAAGCAGCATCCGCAACCCTCTGAAGATCAGATCAAAGTCCTTATAAGCCCCCTACAAGCAAAATTAGCCGCAAGCCGTGAAGCACGGGATCTGGGGTACCCTGAAAGTAGAGTGGGAGGCCTGAAGCCGCAGATTTCTTCTTCTTCATGGCCTTCTTCCGAGTCGTCTTCGGCCTCAGCACAGGAGCGCTTGAAGCACCATCCGGGCTTTGTCGGGCTCTGCTGACGCGTGCTTTGTTAGGTTCAGGTTTGGGGTGTGGGGCTTTTTGTTTCAGCAAATCTTGCTGATTTTAAAATAGCTTTCCCGGTGAAACATACCCGATCCATTCGCTTGGCACCCGCACAAATGCAGTACGGGTATACATGTGTCTATGTGTACGTCTATGTATGTGTGCGTCTATAAATAATTGTAGCGATTAGTCTAACCTCGCCTACAAGTATGTGTGTACAAATAAATGTGTATATATATTAAAAAAAATATACATATATATATATATATATATAGCTGTCTGGGTGTATATATGTACATGTGTATGTCCCTCTCTCTCTACTGAACACTGGCACTCCAAGCTCTCGCACCCTGCAGCCCGAGACCCCCAGCACCCCCAAAGCCGCAAATTGCCCCGAGACCCTTCAACTCCTAAACCCTAAACCCT